ATGATGATGATGATGATGATGATGATGATGATGATGATGATGATGATTGTGATGGTGGTGATGATAAGGGTGGTGTGGGAACGCAGGAAGGAAAACGAACTGAAATGAACCTCAAGCAAACCAACACCTCTTAGTTCCTTTACCACTTCTTTCTAACAAAGGGGCAACTGCCTTTGTGGGGGGAGAGTGCACTGTGCGCTTCACACGGCGACATTCGATCAACGCGCCCCTGCCAGGATGCACCACTCGCGGTGAATGGCTGGTCTCCTCGGTGGCATCCACATCAAAGCCGTAGAGTGGGATGTAAAAGCCCACCTGATCAGCTCAAGCGGGGCATGTTATGGCATGTTCAAAAATAAGTTGAATGCCTGTCCACACTGTGGTTATGCTTGATTCTGTGCAGGAATCGGCACCCCAACTGCTAGCCAAGGGCCACAAGTTGATGCAAATATACCTTACCACCTGCAGACCTTCTTTGGGCCCGTGCCAAAGATGTTTAAACCTGTTGTCAAAAGGGCGCTCCACCGAACTGTCAGAGTCTTTGTCCATTCTCGTCCGAGTTCTCGTCCAAAGCTGCCGGAGCTGCGCGAGCATCACATGCAGATCGACGAGGGTAGAATCGTCGAACACAACTCTCTGTAGGTGCCTACTGCTGCCATACGATCGCTGAGTACCGAGTCATACTCGTTGGATCTCGTTGGATCTTGTTGGCACTGTTGATGATCGGGTGCACTGCATCTCCTTCAGATGTCAGATAGACTTTGCCCTGAGCACCACTCGACATAGGCCAAAAAAACCCAGTAGACAAGCCGTCTTGGTCGTCTGTGGCATACCTGTGATTTCGAGCTGCATTTGGCAGAGTAAAGGCCCTTACTGCAAAGAGATCCTAAAGGACGTGCCAGACTTCACAAGGTCAAAGCCAAATGAAATGATGGCAGATGCACTGGATAGGCTGGTGCCATGGAACAAAGACTCGCCACTTTGTCTCTGCCCAAGCAGCAAGCCAAGTCCTGGAGTCCTTCAACAAGTTCTGTGGCTGCTCGCTGCCCTGCGAGTTATGCAAGACTGGTGATGACTGGTGCAGCTGTGCAAGTGCTTCTCAGCAATCGAGTGACACTTGGGGTTCAGTTCGGGCAACACGTCTGTCACAAAGACACCTCTCCTCTTCACGCAAAAACATCGACATGTCCAAGAGCTGGAACCCGCCGAAATGAACCCTTGGCATGAATATATAGATTCAATATGATTCAAGAGAAGACACGCAAAAGCATACACATCATACACCATCACCGCCCTGGCATACAACGGCTGCTCCTTTGCTCTTTTCATCGAGCAGGCGCTCCATGTCGCATCCGGACGTAACGTGACGACGAACGTCATGTCGCATCCAGTTCTCACCGCAAGGGATGCAAGGGGCTCGTGGGCTCAGACTCAAACGTGTGAAAAAAGGTCAATGGCAGTGGATCGCTACTACTAGCTCCTGGCATCGCTACTAGGAGCGCTACTAGGGGCTCCTGGCCTTACTACTAGGAGCAAGGACGCTACTAGGGGCTCCTGGCATTGCTACTAGGAACAAGGAGCTACCAGGAGACCGACCGGTCGTTGACCTACCTGGTGGACCGGTCGTTCGCGACATGGGGGACGACCGTCGGGCGACGGTTGAACGACCCGTCACCGGGAGTCGTGGATGGTCCAATTGCCTAGCGATGTCTAAGACTAGCGGTGGGCTGCTTGGAGTCACAGCCCATTCCCAAAGTGCAAGAAATGCTTTCAACGAATCTGATAAATGGACTTCCACCGCCCGTAGGCAGTTTGCTGATAGAGAGTCCCCTTTCAGAGTTTGGCCCAGCCAAGTAGGTCACACCTGTTAAAGGCTCCAACTCTTCCTCCCGCCAGCAAAACATCAGACAAACCACCCTTGCCAGCGCCAGCAGCAGGATGACGATGGCAATTCGCTTGGGCAGATCCTCAGCCCGCCAAGTTGAGCCACTTCAATCAAGCGACAAGTTGAGCGGCTGCTTGGCCATGGAAGAGATCCAAACATCCACAGTGGCGTTGTTTAACCGCCGGGGGACGTTTCTTATCGTTTCTTGCACAGTGCTCAGATCTCTTCGGGTTGGTGGCTTCAACTCACTTGATAAACATTAGTCAGCGGGTTCAACCATCCCAAGTAAAGCTTGAAAATAAACATATTAACAATGTTTTCACATTTCGACACCACCACCTGGTCTCAAGCATACTCAAACCTGCCAGGTGTCTTTGTGGTCCAAGATGTCCAAGATCAGGGCCGAGCAGGTGGTGTTTTCGCGAGGAGAAGTGTAGAAGGTCCCACGAGGTATGGGGTACATAGGGGTAACTTCGAACAGTTGCAATCTCTTTCGAGCTTCTATATAAGTAAACCACACGAGATCTGTTGATTGCCTTCTGGATCCTCCCAATGACGAAGCTTCCTCTACCAGTTTTAGTAGGGGAAGGTTCCGAACCCCAAGAAACAGCAGTTCTCGCACCACACATCTGAGCTTACTAGATTTGGGCGATTCACAGCAGGTCTTTTAAAACACATGGCCAGCTCCCCACCAAGAGAAGAAGACACACAATGACACACACACACAGAGACAGAGAGAGAGCAATTTGCTGAGCTTCGCCCTTGGTCAACAGTGCCAAATAGTTCACCTCACTCTTCACCTCTGCTCGTCGCATCAGCGCCGTCTGATCTTCACGACCCTCCGGGCGTTCGCGGCCTCCAGTCACATCGGCAGAGTGCTTTTGGGTAGGTGTAGTGTGAAAACGCACAGGGAACCTTTCAAACAACCACGTTACGTTCAGGTGATCAGGCCTGCTACGGCCTTCTTCCGATCAGGTCAAACATGGACCTACGCGCGGAGAAAACGTGTCCCAAACGTATGTTTATCTATTTGGGGACTACTTCATACAAACATGTGTATATATACTGACATAACTAATCTTATTATATAAACAGACTTAGGCACCAAAAATAGGGATCTTTGGAATTGTCAGATCCTTGACTTGGATGGCTTGACTCAGATCGGTGCTTTGGATCGCGTTTTCAAATCATGTATCAAAGGTCTAGGAGTCTAGCAGAGTGTAGCGTTTGCAAATCGCCAGGTTAGAAGTTCCAGAAACATGGTCTAAGATCTTCAGAGTTTCCACTTAAGAGGGACACCTCAGACATATCACAGTGGCCCCCCCAAAAAGCACAAACCAGGCCGTGATCCTTTAACTAAGCAGGAAGTTCGAAGTTTTTCCAAGGTCACCACTTAGCCCTCCTTCCACCCAGCGGCACAGGCGTACGCTTGCTCCCGCAAGGAGAGCAGCCACACCGTAAACCACCTCAAGGGCCAAGACAAATCTTTGAGAAATGGATTCAACGTCAACCTACGTAGACTCGATGTTAGGACTCAAGGAGCCCTTTACAAATAGAGTCTTTTCCATTTCAATGAAAGTGAGCCAGAGTTAAATCATGTTGAATCAAAACTGCTTTGGACCCTTTGGATGTTCATCATGAAGCCCATCTGGAAAGCAACTTGGCAAAACCTCCAGCGCCCCACCTGCGATGATCCGCCCTCTACAGGTGCCACCGTGTTCGATGCCCGCACATCAGGCACATCAGGGCGCAAAGGGCCTGCACAGCCGTGCAGACGTGCTTGGGGAGCGGGTCTTCTGATTGAATAAACGAGGCATGAAATGGCAGCAAAGAGTTCCTAATTAATGATCCAGTCCACATGAATCGTCTGACAGCTCTCAATGGTCGAGATCCACTACTCTCACCAGTGATCAAAGCAGTTTACTCCACAAATGTTTCCATCCCCATGGTCATGTGTGACCCTTGGCCCACAGGCACGGCCTAGTTTGCTTCGATATCAACCTCTACATCAGCTCCCTACTCTTGACCCGCATCATCCAATAGCCTCTGGCCGGTGCCACAAAGCTGGCGCCCAGCGCAAGCAGCCCAAGCACACCCAGCGCGAGTGGCGGAAGCAGCCGCGCGGCTCCCCGCGGCTTGCGCTCCATGGTGGATGGAGCCGATACAGCTGGCCACGCGAAACGGACAGCTCAGTGCATTCGTTTTGGTTGCCCCAGGTGAGACATGTGGATAAGTTTGCGTGGACGTAAACGATCAACTATGTGAATGGAGCAAAACCCCAAGATGCGTGGTTTCGATGTCGCTCAAACACGGAAAGTTTAGCACCTGGTCTTCTGAAGAGACACACCAAAGAAGGGTGATGAGAGGAATTGGGATGTACATTTGGAGAGGCTTCACTATTCTTGAAGGCAAAAAGTCTGGCGGATTGCAGCTACTTCTTCACCTGAACTGTTTCAGTGGTTCATGGGCGCGGCCCACAGGGCCCGCAGGGCACCCGGCCCTGAATCTGTACCTCTGCGCAAGCCTCAAAATACCTGAGCGAGGGACCAAGGGATCCTTTTTCAGTGGATCCCAGTGGATTCACGGTGGATTCACATCTTTCGCACGACCAGAATAGCGGTTAATCATTGATACCTATCGATATCATCTATGATTGAATCGTGATGGCATGTTGCTATTCTTGAGCACCATTGACAAGGGAATTATATAAGGTACCAAGTGCGACAGCTGCAAGAGCAGTAGCTTTGTCTGTGGTGCAACATCGCTAATGACTCGCCTCATCAACTAGTCAATTCTCAGAAGAAAGAAACAAAACAACATATTGTATAATACATATACATATTATAGGCTCATTATAGGCTATAGGACATTGAAGACAATGGTTTTTCTTATAATTGAGGCAAACTCACTAACCAGTCATGCTAGAGCCCAGTAGAGACTGCTCATAGGGTCATATCTGCAGAGCTCCCAACACCCTTACAAATCTTAGTGCTCCTTATTAACAAGGTCATCGAAGTAGGGTTTTGCCTCGATCGCCGGTGGTTCTCTCTTCACGAGCCAAGGCAAATTTGTCTTCACCAGACTTCTGAAGTGTGTGGTCCTCAAAGCATTTTTACCACACCCTACTCATTGCAATGAGCGATCCACAGGTCGCCGCGGCTTCTGAAAAATACAAACGAAGACTCAGACCTCCTCCGCTTCGGAGCCGCCAACCCCCGTTTTTCGGAGCCGCCAACCCCCGTCTGCGCGCCTGCGGAAGGTGTCTTGTTGCATGGTGGCACTCATCAACACCACTCCTCGGAGGGGTCATGCGCGATATCTTTGGTGGTTCAACGTAACAGGGCTCTCGTGTACCAAATGCCCTCGTGTTGTGTATGTTGTGCCCAGTCCCAGACCCAGGGGCAAACAAGGGGGAAAGCGCATTAAGCAGAGCCGAGCACGGCCCTGTTTGATGTGCTGGTTTTTCACGGGCTGATCCACTCCACTACTGCAAGAAACCGGAGACTGGGACTGGGGCCTGGGGTTGGTCATCTGCAATGTCGACCCCTATAAGGACCCCTTTGTGAGCTTGGGTGAAGGGAGAAAAAAGAAACACATCAGTGTCCAATCCGTGTTTGAAGTCCATTGTTGACATTTGTTGACTGGCAGCCTCGGAGCTGAGTGGTGCTTGTGATTTGGCTTCAGCCTGAGAGTCTGATACGAAAATGATCTCAATAAGTCATCAGTTTTAGAAGGGTATAACTGTATAACAGAAGTCTAAAGCCCCTACCCTGCATACCATTGAGAGCAACCAAATGAATTTGATTGGTGAATTCCTCCTATGCAGCTTTACTGTTGCATTTCAATCTGAAGATCTGTCTGTTGCAGAATCTTTGACAGCTTGCAATCACTCTTTTCCCGGAGCCAGGGATGCTGCGTAGGTCAGGCCTGCCGACAAAAGTTCTGACCAACGAAAACGAATGAATCAAGAGTCTCCAAGTCTGACCATTCTACACAGCCAAATCTGGCCCAACTCCAGCTATACACTGCCATACACCTCACTTGCCAATTGCTTTTTGAATATGCCATTATCATCCGTCACGAGTTCATCGGCTTAACCCCACTGCCTGCAGCTTGGCACCCAAAAACCAGGACGGAAGTTACTGGGAAGAAGATTTGGTGGAACCTGTCTTGATCGTGGGCTTGTGACTGAGGTTTTCAGAAGAATCTTTAAAAACAATGTATATTCGTAATAATACAATAAAACATAACATACACGTACAGTACGTATGTGATATGTTTGTATAAGTTCGATGTCTGAGCTTTCCTCCCGGCTTTTCTTCTGTTTACTTGCAATATACAATATAATTGTATACAGTATACAGTAACATCTGTATTTTGCTTCTCTCCCTGCTAATCTCCCACTACTTCATGGCTCGCCTCTCGGCCAAGAGATCACGCACGGCGATGAGCAAGAAATCTGTGACCTGCGAGGGAGACATAACGGAAACGCACGAAATGCAGCTTGCTTATGGCAGCAAAGAGAAGCCGTGGATGAATCTTGTTCTGGAAGAAGCTCATGGCCGAGTAAACAGTAGAGCAACTGATCCAATTAAAACGGTTTCTTGAACTGGTTGAGAAACAGCTGGCTCAGAACACATCACTCATCAAATTTTGGCACTTCCTTCTTGCTTTCTGGTATGTCTGGTGCCCAGACTTCAGGGAGACAACCATGAGCAGTGCGAGGACTGATTGACGTCGCGACAAAAGTGCGTGAAACTATGAACAAAGAAACCAGAAGTTCCACACCACTGGTGACCTGGGTGACTTGTCACCTCGGGCAGATCTTTGAAACCAAACATCCAATGATCCAATGTCTGAACAAGTTCCTGAGCTGCAAGTGCACGTGTCCTGCAGTTCTCGCTGGGTTGCTGTGTGGCACTTTTTTTCCCACTCAACCTCACTGGCTTGGGAAGGTAAACCTTCTTGCAGAGTCTTGTGACGTCAGGGAAAGGTTGCAAAGGCACACTTCCACCTTTTGGTCGGATCTGTTGGGGAAGTCTGCAATTCCAAACACGGAGTGGGTCCAGGGAGAAAGGCCAAAGGCCTTAGGAAAGGCCTATGAAAGACCTTCTCAACACCCCTGTGTCACACGACCGACTAACTAACAGAAACCCCAGAAACTATATACTAGTTCACCAAGACATCTTTCAAATGGCATATAGAATTTAGAGTGTATAATTAGATAATTTAGAGGTAACAAAACAACTATCAACAACACCTGTGACTGTCACAGTCAGCTGGT